ATGCCATCCATCCATCTTGCCCTTGGCCGGCCCCTCTTCCTTTTACCTTCCACTTTCCCCAGCATAATTGTCTTCTCTAGGCTTTGCTGTCTCCTCATGATGTGGCCAAAGTACTTCAACTTTGTCTCTAGTATCCTTCCCTCTAATGAGCAGTCGGGCTTTATTTCCTGGAGGATGGACTGGTTGGATCTTCTCGCAGTCCAAGGCACTCTCAGAACTTTCCTCCAACACCACAGTTCAAAAGCATCTATCTTCCTTCGCTCAGCCTTCCCTAAGGTCCAGCTCTCACATCCGTAGGTTACTACAGGGAATACCATTGCTTTTACTATGCGGATCTTTGTTGCCAGTGTGATGTCTCTACTCTTTACTATTTTATCGAGATTGGACATTGCTCTCCTCCCAAGAAGTAAGTGTCTCCTGATTTCCTGGCTGCAGTCTGTGTCTGCAGTAATCTTTGCACCTAGAAATACAAAGTCTGTCACGGCCTCCACATTTTCTCCCTCTATTTCCAGTTGTCAATCATTCTTGTTGCCATAATCTTGTTTTTTTTTATGTTTAGCTGCAACCCGGCTTTTGCGCTTTCTTCTTTCACCTTGATTAGAAGGCTCCTCAGCTCCTCCTCGCTTTCGGCCATCAGAGTGGTGTCATCTGCATATCTGAGGTTGTTAATGTTTCTTCCAGCAATTTTCACCCCAGCTTTGCATTCATCAAGCCCCGCACATCGCATGATGTGTTCTGCATACAAGTTAAAAAGGTTGGGTGAGAGTATGCAGCCTTGCCGTACGCCTTTCCCAATCTTGAACCAGTCTGTTGTTCCGTGGTCAGTTCTGACTGTTGCTACTTGGTCCTTGTACAGATTCCTCAGGAGAGAGACAAAGTGGCTTGGTATGCCCATCCCACCAAGAACTTGCCACAATTTATTATGATCCACACAGTCAAAGGCTTTAGAATAGTCAATGAAGCAGAAGTAGATGTTTTTCTGAAACTCCCTGCCTTTCTCCATTATCCAGCGGATATTGGCAATCTGGTCTGGTCAGCTCCGCTGGACTGGTGCAGAGCTTTGGCATAGAGTGCTACCAGTATGCAGATGATACCCAGCTACTCTTGCATCTCGAACCTGGGACAACCGTGATTCCTGAGAACTTTAAGCTGTGTTTGGAAGCAGTGATGAGTTGGCTATGAGCAAGCAGACTAAAAGTCAATCCTGCAAAAACTGAGATACTCTGGCCCGGCCAGCCGCCAGAATTAACCCAGTCTCTGCCTGATTTCGATGGGGAAGCTCTGGTTCCGTCTGCCACTGTTAAAAGCCTTGGGGTTGTGTTGGATTCATCGCTGACGATGGAGGCCCAGATCACTGCCATAAGTAAGCAGGCCTTTTTCATCTTCGCCAGGCAAGGAAATTGGCATCCTACCTTTCGGTAGAAGCATTGGCAACAGTAATCCATGCAACAGTCACCACTAGGTTGGACTATTGCAATGCCTTATATGCTGGCCTTCCGAAGTCAACGACCCAGAAGATTCGGATGGTCCAAAATGCGGCGGCCAGGCTGCTAGCGGGAACATCTATAAGATCCCATATTACACCAATTCTGCAGCAACTGCATTGGCTACCAATAGAACATCGGATCTCTTACTGATCCTGACATTTAGGGCCCAAAATGGCCAAAGACCTTTATATCTTAGGGACCGCCTCATTCCTTTTCCCCATCAGTGGTCACCTCGATCCACCCAGGAAAATCTCCTATACATACCGGGTCCTAGGGAGGCACATTTGGAAGCTACAAGGCGTAGAGCTTTTTCGATCTATGCTCCAATTCTGTGGAACTCATTGCCTCCGTATATTAGAGCAATGTTGGAGTTGCGACCTTTTGTAAAGGCGCTCAAGACTTGGCTGTTTGGTTGTGCATTTAAGTAATCAGATCAAATTTTGCCATAGTCACTGCTGAATGTTTTTATGTTGAATGTTTTTATGTTGAATGTTTTTATGTTGAATGTTTTATATTGTGTATAAGCTATTTTAAATTGTAAGTCGCTCGGAGCACTTTGGTGGAGAGCGACTAATTAAGAAATAAAGTGATGATGATGATGATGATGATGATGATGATGATGATGGTCTCTCGTTCCTATGCCTTTTGTAAACCCAGCTTGAACATCTGGCAACTCTCGCTCCATGTATTGCTGGAGTCTTCCTTGCAGGATCTTGAGCATTACCTTACTGGCATGAGAAATAAGGGCCACTGTACGGAAGTTTGAGCAGTCTTTCGCATTTCCCTTTTTTTGGTATGGGGATATGGGGTTGGTAGATTGTAGATCAATGGTTCTCAACCTTCCTAATGCCGTGACCCCTTAATACAGTTCCTCATGTTGTGGTGACCCCCAACCATAAAATGATTTTGGTTGCTACTTCATAACGGTAGTTTTGCTACTGTTACGAATCATAATGGAAATATCTGATATGCATGATGCATTTTCATCCAATGAACCAAATTTGGCAGAGATACCTGACACGTCCAAATTTGAATACTGGTGGGATTGCTGGATTTATAGTTAACTTACAATCAAAGAGCATTCTGAACTCCACCAATGATAGAATTGAACCAAACTTGGCGCACAGAATTCCAATGACCAACAGAAAATCCTGGAAGGGTTTGGTGGCATTGACCTTGAGTTTTGGAATTGTAGTTCACCTACATTCAGAGACCACTGTGGACTCAAGCCATGATAGATCTGGACCAAACTTGGCATAAATACTCAATATGCCCAAAGGTAAACACTGGTGGAGTTTCGGGAAAATAGATCTTGACATTTGGGAGTTGTAGTTGCTGGGATATATAGCTCACCTACAATCAAAGAGCATTCTGAACCCCACTAACAATTAAATTGGACCAAACTTCCCACACAGAACCCCCAATGACCAACAGAAAATACTGTGTTTTCTGATGGACTTTGGCGACCCCTCTGACACTCACTGGCGACCCCCGCAGGGGTCCCGACCCCCAGGTTGAGAACCACTGTGCTACTTGGTCCTTGTACAGATTCCTCAGGAGAGAGACAAGGTGGCTTGGTACGCCCATCCCACCAAGAACTTGCCACAATTTGTTATGATCCACACAGTCAAAGGCTTTAGAATAGTCAATGAAGCAGAAGTAGATGTTTTTCTGAAACTCCCTGCCTTTCTCCATTATCCAGCGGATATTGGCAATCTGGTCTCTCGTTCCTCTGCCTTTTCTAAACCCAGCTTGAACATCTGGCAACTCTCGCTCCATGTATTGCTGGAGTCTTCCTTGCAGGATCTTGAGCATTACCTTACTGGCATGAGAAATAAAGGCCACTGTACGGAAGTTTGAGCAGCCTTTCGCATTTCCCTTTTTTGGTATGGGGATATGGGGTTGGTAGATGGGAGATGGGAGATGGTAGCGGGGTATAAATCATAGAATCATAGAATCAAAGAGTTGGAAGAGACCTCATGGGCCATCCAGTCCAACCCCCTGCCAAGAAGCAGGAATATTGCATTCAAATCACCCCTGACAGATGGCCATCCAGCCTCTGTTTAAAAGCTTCTAAAGAAGGAGTCTCCACCACACTCTGGGGCAGAGATTTCCACTGCTGAACGGCTCTAATAGTCAGGAAGTTCTTCCTCGTGTTCAGATGGAATCTCCCCTCTTGTAGTTTGAAGCCATTGTTCCGCGTCCTAGTCTCCAAGGAAGCAGAAAACAAGCTTGCTCCCAGGGCCGTAGCCAGAAAATTATTTTGGGGAGGGTTGAAAATTTGGGGGGGGGTTAGGGTTAGGGTTCCATTCTGTCCCCCCCCTGTCAACCACTTCCACCAAGTCTGGCCTCCTTAATTAGAGCATTCAACCCCCCCCCCCCCCACACACACACAACTTCGTTGCTTCACTACATCGGCTATTGCTGCAAGTAATGACAGTGTGTATAAAGCCGGGGGGGGGCTTGAGGGGCTTCACCCCCCCCAAATTCATGGTGGTTCGCGAAAAGGCCTTACTGGTGCATTATTTAAACTGTTATGTTTATTCATATCATGATCTGATCACCATACTCAATATATCCCATATGCATGGGGGTATTGGGGTAATGATACAAAATGTTTGCTAGGCTAGACCCTCTTTCACTCAGACTCAGCCCCCCCCGAAACTCAGCCCCCCCAACCCCTCCTGAAAAACACCCCCCATTCCCCCCCCACACCCCCCCCCCCTCCAACTTGGTTGCTTCGCTACATCGGCTGCTGCAAGTAATGACAGTGTGAATAAATTGTCAATATTTGCTTGAGATAGTGCTTGCAGTTCTGGAGGGACTCTTAATTTTTTGCATCTCATAGACTTAGCATGGGGATTTGGTTAACCAGTTAAAATTCATGAGTAAACCAGTTTTTTTAAAAAATCTGAAACATTTCGGGGGGGGTTTGAACCCCTAAAACCACCCCCTCGCTACAGGCCTGCTTGCTCCCTCCTCCCTGTGGCTTCCTCTCACATATTTATACATGGCTATCATATCTCCTCTCAGCCTTCTCTTCTTCAGGCTAAACATGCCCAGCTCCTTAAGCCGCTCCTCATAGGGCTTGTTCTCCAGACCCTTGATCATTAGTCGCCCTCCTCTGGACACATTCCAGCTTGTCAATATCTCTCTTGAATTGTGGTGCCCAGAATTGGACACAATATTCCAGGTGTGGTCTAACCAAAGCGGAATAGAGGGGTAGCATGACTTCCCTAGATCTAGACACTATGCTCCTATTGATGCAGGCCAAAATCCCATTGGCTTTTTTTATCGCCACATCACATTATTATTATTATTATTATTATTATTATCATTATTATTATTATTATTATCTTCTTTTCCTTCTACTTTTGCTGCTTCTCCTTTTGCTGCTGCTGCTTCCCTCCCTTATGAGAGAGAGAGAGAGAGAGAAAGAGAGAGAGAGAGAGAGAGAGAGATGTCATATTGCTTAAATAACACGCTCCCTTCTGCGTCTGGGTTAAAGGAAAAACAATTCAGAAGCTGGAAGCCGCTCAGCAAAAAAGGAGGGCGAGTGAGAGGTGTTTTTTTCCTCCTCCAGCCAAGCCTGCCCTCCTCCTCCTCAGCTAAATTCTCCCATCCAAAAAGGAAGAGAAAAAAAAGGAGAAAGAGAGAAGGAAGGAGGAGGAGGGGGGGAAAGGCAAAGGGAGGCAAAAAGGAGCCGCTGGTGAAAAGCTTCTGGCTCCCTCTTCCTCGCCCGCAGTCGCAGCCTTGCCTGGCTGGCTCTGCCCGTTCGGGTTTTTCCCCCCTTTCTTCCTTCCTTCTTTCCTTCTCTCCTCCTCTTCTTTGCTCACTTCGCCTCCTTCCCTTCTGTAAGGTGCTTCTTCTGGGAACTCCACCGGACGGGGAGCTGCCTGAGTCCCTGTCGCCGCCTTGGGAGTCTCATGGAGTAGTCCCTTTGCAGCCCCAGGAAGCCAGGAGAGGCTGGGCTCCCACCAAACAGGTAAGAACTTTTTTTTTTGCTTCTCCCAGGATGATCCTTGGTTTGGGGCTGCAAAGGTTACACCATTGAGGTGAATTGAGAGACAGGAGCCTTACCTTCCATGAACTTCTCCTTGAAAGAACCTCCACTCTCCTAGAGTTGGGTTTCTACACAGCAACACCTCTGACAACACATTGAACATCTCCTTGGATTCTTTCTACTTGAGAGGAACATGTTGGGAACTTAAGCTTTCTTAGACTCCAGCCTACCTCAGAGAAAGAAGTTGGGAGTCTGCACTTTCAATGGGCTCAAATCTTCTTGGGAGAAAGATCTTGGTGGAGTAGTCTTCCCTACTTGAGAGGAACAGGTTGGGAAGCTAAGCTTTATTAGACTCCAGTCTAGCTCAGAGAAAGAAGTTGGGAGTCTGCACTTTGCATGGGCTCAAAGCTTCTTGGGAGAAAGCTATTGATAGAATAGTCTTCCCTGGATTTCAGTCTACTTGAGAGGAACAGGTTGGGAACTTAAGCTTTCTTAGACTCCAGTCTACCTCAGAGAAAGAAGTTGGGAGTCTGCACTTTTCATGGGCTCAAATCTTCTTGGGAGAAAGATATTGATAGAATAGTCTTCCCTGGATTTCAGTCTACTTGAGAGGAACAGGTTGGGAAGCTAAGCTTTCTTGGACTCCAGTCTACCTTGGAGAAAGAAGTTGGGAGTCTGCACTTTCCATGGGCTCAAATCTTCTTGGGAGAAAGATATTGATAGAATAGTCTTCCCTGGATTTCAGTCTAGAGAGGAACAGGTTGGGAAGCTAAGCTTTCTTGGACTCCAGTCTACCTTGGAGAAAGAAGTTGGGAGTCTGCACTTTCCATGGGCTCAAATCTTCTTGGGAGAAAGATATTGATAGAATAGTCTTCCCTGGATTTCAGTCTACTTGAGAGGAACAGGTTGGGAACTTAAGCTTTCTTAGACTCCAGTCTACCTCAGAGAAAGAAGTTGGGAGTCTGCACTTTCCATAGGCTCAGGTCTCTTTGGGAGAAAGATCTTGGTGGAGTAGTCTTCCCTAGACTTCAGTCTACTTGAGAGGAACAGGTTGGGAAGCTAAGCTTTCTTGGACTCCAGTCTACCTCAGAGAAAAAAGTTGGGAGTCTGCATTTTCCATGGGGTCAAATCTTCTTGGGAGAAAGATATTGATAGAATAGTCTTCCCTGGATTTCAGTCTACTTGAGAGGAACAGGTTGGGAACTTAAGCTTTCTTAGACTCCAGTCTACCTCAGAGAAAGAAGTTGGGAGTCTGCACTTTTCATGGGCTCAAATCTTCTTGGGAGAAAGATATTGATAGAATAGTCTTCCCTGGATTTCAGTCTACTTGAGAGGAACAGGTTGGGAAGCTAAGCTTTCTTGGACTCCAGTCTACCTTGGAGAAAGAAGTTGGGAGTCTGCACTTTCCATGGGCTCAAATCTTCTTGGGAGAAAGATATTGATAGAATAGTCTTCCCTGGATTTCAGTCTAGAGAGGAACAGGTTGGGAAGCTAAGCTTTCTTGGACTCCAGTCTACCTTGGAGAAAGAAGTTGGGAGTCTGCACTTTCCATGGGGTCAAATCTTCTTGGGAGAAAGATATTGATAGAATAGTCTTCCCTGGATTTCAGTCTACTTGAGAGGAACAGGTTGGGAACTTAAGCTTTCTTAGACTCCAGTCTACCTCAGAGAAAGAAGTTGGGAATCTGCACTTTCCATAGGCTCAGGTCTCTTTGGGAGAAAGATCTTGGTGGAGTAGTCTTCCGTAGACTTCAGTCTACTTGAGAGGGACAGGTTGGGAAGCTAAGCTTTCTTGGACTCCAGTCTACCTTGGAGAAAGAAGTTGGGAGTCTGCACTTTCCATGGGCTCAAATCTTCTTGGGAGAATGATATTGATAGAATAGTCTCCCTTAGATTTCAGTATACTTGAGAGGAACAGGTTAGGAAGCTAAGCTTTCTTGGACTCCAGTCTACCTTGGAGAAAGAAGTTGGGAGCCTGCACTTTCCATGGGCTCAAATCTCCTTGGGAGAAAGATCTTGGTGGTGTAGTCTTCTCTAGACTTCAATGTTCTTGAGAGGAACAGGTTGGGAAGCTAAGCTTTCTTGGACTCCAGTCTACCTTGGAGAAAGAAGTTGGGAGCCTGCATTTTCCATGGGCTCAAATCTCCTTGGGAGAAAGATCTTAGTGAAGTAGTCTTCTCTAGACTTCAATGTTCTTGAGAGGAACAGGTTGGGAAGTTAAGCTTTCTTAGACTCCAGTCTACCTCGGAGAAAGAAGTTGGGAGTCTGCACTTTCCATGGGCTCAAATCTTCTTGGGAGAAAGATATTTATAGAATAGTCTTCCCTGGATTTCAGTCTACTTGAGAGGAACAGGTTGGGAAGCTAAGCTTTCTTGGACTCCAAATCTCCTTGGGAGAAAGAGCTTGTTGGAGTAGTCTTCCCTAGACTTCAATCTACTTGAGAGGAACAGGCTGGGAACCTTAGCTTTCTTAGACTCCAGTATACTTCAGAGAAAGAAGTTGGGAGCCTGCACTTTCCATGGTTCAAATCTCCTTGGGAGAAAGAGCTTGGTGGAGCAGTTTTCCCTAGACTTCAATCTCCTTGAGAGGAACAGGTTGGGAACCTAAGCTTTCCTAGACCTAAGTCTACTTGAGAGAAATACGTTGGGAACCTAAGCTTTCCTAGACCTAAGTGTACTTGAGAGAAATACATTGGGAGCCTCAACTTTCAAAGTGTTACATCTACTTGAGAGAAGCAGTTGGGAAGCTGAGCTTTCCGCAGGGTTAAGTCTACTTGAGAGACACAGGTTGGGTGCACAAACTTCTCTAGACTACTGGAGAGAAGTTGAGAGTTTCAACTTTTGGAGACCCAAAAGAAAGAAGCTGGAAGCTCAAGCTTTTCAATACCTAAGTCCACCTGAGAGAAAGAGGTTGGAAACCTAACCTTTCAGAAGATTACATCTACTTGAGAGAAACAGGTTGGGAATTGAAGATTTCCTAGACTTCTATTTGAGAGACAGAAGTTGTGAGTCTAAGCTTCTGTAGACTTGAGAGTCAGAAGTTGGAAGCCAAAACTTGTGCAGGCTCTAGTCTCCTTCTGAAAAATAGGTTTGAAGGCGTAATTCTGTTTGAGAAAAATAGGTTGGGAACCCGAACTTTCCAAGACTTCAGTCTGTTTAAGAAAAAGCAGTTTGGCACCTAAGCTTTTGTAAGGTTGAGTCTTCTGGTGAGAAATCGGTTGGAAGCCTAAAGGAATCAGTACTTGAATGGAACAGATTAAGATCCTAAACATTCATAGGGTCTCGCCTTCTTGAAAGAAGTTGGGAAGCATAAGCTTTCATAAACTTAATTTACTTGAAAGACAGAAGTCGATAGCTACCAGCTTGTTTCTCTCAATTAGTGTCAAAGGTACTATGATATCCCTTTGCGTACAGCTGTTCAATGTAGTCACAGAATTGTATTTGGTTACATCAGAAAAAGAAGTCCTTCTGATTCTCGGTGATGCAGAACAGGGCTTTTCGGAGACTTTGTATATAATTTGTAAACAAAATCCAATACCTCGCACATATCTCTTGCCTTTTCTCGCTTCCTCCCCTCCTACTCAAAATTTGGATTAATTAAAGGGGGAAACATATTTGGAATATATTTTGGAACTCCCTTTTGACAAACGTGCTGTTCACTTCTTGTTTCCAAGCCTGGCGTGGATGTAGCTGCCCTGCATTATCCAATTGACACCCCCCCCCCAAAAAGAAAAACACACACACACAACACACACACACACACCAAAAAGAGGACTGTAAACATTGAAAGTCCAAGGGGAGTTTAGAAATTCCAGATATGGTTGTTGAGGTCTAAGAAAGAAAAGTCACCCTTTTTTGAAAAGCTTACCTGTACCTCTGGAACTCCCTTCCTAAGGAGTTAAAGATGCCCCCCCCCTTCCTGCCCCCAAGAAACACCTGAAGAAATACCTTTGCTCACTGGCTTACAAGAAGGAGTAGTAGTAGTTCGTAATACTACTACCATTATACCTCTGATTAATAGCTACCATCCGTATCCGTGCCCTGTTCGCCCCACCAGCTTATTAGATATCTTGAGCGATGATCAATCTATTTGCCTCCAAGTAATTGGGAAATTGATGCTTCTGTTCAATGTTTGATGTTTTGTCTTATGTCTGCACGTTTTAAATTTAATTTTAGTTGTTAAGACATAATTTGGGTTGTTGTGAGTTTTCCGGGCTGTATGGGAACGTTTCAGAAGCATTCTCTCCTGACATTTTGCCTGCATCTATGGCAGGCATCCTCAGATGTTGTGAGCTCTGTTGGAAACTAGGAAAATGAGGTTTATAACTCTGTCTCAGACTACACAGAGACGCCATTGAAATCCACAAGCATGTGAACAATTTCAGCAGAAAGGAAGAAACCATGAAAATGAACAAAATCTGGCTACCAGTATTTTTAAAAAATCTCTAAAAAAATCAGAACAGTAAATAAAGAACAACACTTAAAAACTGGGGAATTCCAGACAAGAAACAATCAGGGCCAGCTAATCACCTCCCAACAAAGGTTTCCCCCAGGCAGGAAGCAGTCAGACATTGAAGCTGCAAGGCTATTAAATACGAATCAGTTCATAGAATCATAGAATCAAAGAGTTGGAAGAGACCTCATGGGCCATCCAGTCCAACCCCCTGCCAAGAAGCAGGAATATTGCATTCAAATCACCCCTGACAGATAGCCATCCAGCCTCTGCTTAAAAGCTTCCAAAGAAGGAGCCTCCACCACACTCCGGGGCAGAGAGTTCCACTGCTGAACGGCTCTCACAGTCAGGAAGTTCTTCCTCATGTTCAGATGGAATCTCCTCTCTTGTAGTTTGAAGCCATTGTTCGCGTCCTAGTCTCCAAGGAAGCAGAAAACAAGCTTGCTCCCTCCTCCCTGTGGCTTCCTCTCACATATTTATACATGGCTATCATATCTCCTCTCAGACCTTCTCTTCTTCAGGCTAAACATG